CTCACCCATCATTGCCAGGTGTGCGACCCGGGTCGACCAACGGATTAATCGGGGCATAGCTCTGAATACCGTGGCTGGCGAAAAAAAAAAAAAAAAACTATTTGCGAATATTGAGAAAAGTGATGTAATTAAATAGCTTTTCACGTAGAATACCTTTTAGCCGGGTCAATATGTGAGTCCTTCATTTATTTTAAACAAAAGTTTGTGGTATGATGTATTAATTTTGTTATGGAGCTATTGAATGACTCGACTTATGGAGTCATGCATACTTATTCACCAATAATATATTGACATGTGTCATACAATAAATACAAATTGGACAGTGTCAACATATTAAGTGGTGGATGATTCCATAAGATAATTATTCGATAACTCCATAGAATTTTTGTATGACGTAGTCATGCTAGAATTTAGATGTTAGTCGGTTAAACGAGTGTTTATCCATATAATTTAGATGCGTCTTAAAGCACGCTTAAGCCATCTCCACACGAGTGTGTATCCATATAATTTATTGTGAAAAAATTTATAATTAATGAGAGTAAAGTGCATTTATCTCAATTATTTCAAGATAATTTTAAGTAATATTCGACCTTGTGCATTTGCACATATTTTAATAATTATTTAATTGATTTACATGCATATAATATTTAAATTATAAGTTAGATAATAGTATTATACCTTAAACATAGAGTATTATAAGTAGGGGTAGTATCGGTTCGGTTACCGAACCGATAAGCATATACCGATACCGTACCAATAATGTCGGTAATCTCGTAATGCAAAACCGATACCGAACCGATTAAAGTCGGTTACTGAAAATTCGGTTCGGTTTTGGTTCGGTATCAGTTTTATACCGAAAAAAATTGAACCGATTTTGAGCACACCAAAAAAAAAAAAAATGCTAGTGTTTACTTTTCTCGTCATTTTTGTAATTTTTTCACTTCTTACCAATTAAATAAACACTAAAGACTCACAACATTGAAGGATTAAAAAGTTTAAATTTAATATATAGAAGCTAGAAGTATAATTAGATTATGGTTTTTGTGGTAAACGCACTAATAAAATAATATATTGCTAACGTACAAGAAATAAAATTTGTGATACAACTTCAACTAATTTATTTAGTAACAGTGGTACAAGAATAGACTACAGTAACGGTAGCATCTTCTTTAGAAGGAGTGAGACTGGTAAATCGACAATGTTCCTATTAGAAGGTGAATGAGGTGATGAGTAGTGGTATTTTTCTCGTCATTTTGAGATTTAGGTAGGGTTGAGCCCTTGTTTCAATTTTTGAACACTAAACAACTAATCCTTGTTTTAATATTTAAAAAAAAATATTTGTTTTAATT